GCAGAGGACACCCTTATGGCAGAAAGTGAAGAAGAACTAAAGACCCTCTTGATGAAAGTGAAAGAGGAGAGTGAAAAAGTTGGCTTAAAGCTCAACATTCAGATTCAGTCCCATCACTTCATGGGGATCACTTTATGGGGATGGGGAACAGTGGAAACAGTGGCAGACTTTTTTTTTCTGGGCTCCAAAATCACTGCAGATGGTGAGTGCAGCCATGAAATTAAAAGACACTTACTCCTTGGAAGGAAAATTATGACCAATCTAGACCGCATATTAAAAAGCAAAGACATTATTTTTGTCAACAAAGGTCTGTCTAGTCAAGGCTATGGTTTTTCCAGTGGTCATGTATGGATGTGAGAGTTGGACTATAAAAAAAGTTGAGCGTAGAATTGATGTTTTTGAACTGTGGTGTTGGAGAAGACTCTAGAGAGTCCCTTGGACATCAAGGAGATCCAACCAGTCCATCCTAAAGGAGATCAGTGCTGGGTGTTCATTGGAAGGACTGATGTTGAAGCTGAAACTCCAATAGTTTGGTCGCCTGATGCAAAGAGCTGACTCATTTGAAAAGACCCTGATGCTGGGAAAGATTGAGGGCAGGAGAAGGGAGAGACAGAGGATGAGATGGTTGGATGGCATCACCAACTCAATGGACATGGGTTTGAGTGGACTCTGGGAGTTGGTGATGGACAGGGAGGCCTGGCCTGCTGCAATTCATGGGGTCGCAAAGAGTCGGACACAACTGAGCAACTGAACTGAACTGAAAGGGGGAAGTAGTTACACAAACGATTTGAAATTCTTCTGAAGAAAAACTGGACTTTTCTCCCATGTTTACTTAGAATGAACTCATGTACGTTTCTTTTGTACTCTGGGTTATAACCCCATATTACCCTATTCAGTTTGTTCCTCAAATTGTGGCTATTGCCAGGGGGAGCTCTTTCAGGGTGGCTCCTGTCGCCAACTGATTTTTGCTCCATAGAAACATTTTTTTGCATATTTATTTTTCATGTAAAAAACAACCATTTAGAAAACTAAGAAACAACCCAAAGAAAACCAAATTATCCTTATAACCCCATCATTTTGACACAGTTGGTTAGCCTTTTGGTGTTCTCTTTGTCTTTTATGTTTTTTAAATATAGCTTTTAAAGAATATCTGCTTCATAACTACGCATGATTTCTTAAACATGAGTGCCATTTTTTACAATTATGTAGTGTTTACCAGATGCACATGTTAGAACACCTTAAGAAAAGCTCTCTGGAGTCAGACTTTGTGCCTTCCCTACCCTCTGGTCACTGAATCTGAGTCTCAGTCCTCTCATCCATAAAAGAGAGGAAGTGATGATATGTTTTGCACAAAACTTAACAAAGCAGCACATAGTTGATTAAGATCAAGGACTCGAAATAGACAGCCTAAGTATAAATCTTGACACTGTCACTTAGTTAGGAAAGCCTGGGCAAGTTACTCGACTTCTCTTTGCCTCCCTTGCATCTGTAAAGTGGGAAAACAAAAAGCTTTGCTTTCAGTATTGTTGGAGGACCTAATGCATTCAGTGGTGTTCAGTGCTTAGGCCACAGCAAGTGTTCAGTCAGCTGTTACTGACTCTGGGCAGATCTCTCTCCATGGCTGGGCTTATAACCTAAATTTAATTATACAATCACCTCCCTCCATCTCAATGCTTCACATGCAGGAGGGGTGCAGCATTTATTAACATCTATGTGTGCACACATTCACAATGTCTGTCAGCAAAACACAGCTAAAACCACTTCCTAAGATGGCAAATGACTATATGCATAGAAACAAGATCGGAGTTACATCTCTGGTTTTATCCAGAGTCTATGTGTCATCTCCTGTTTAGCTTCTTTTTCCTCACTTTTGGGCTTCCTTGATGACAGATAGTAAAGAATCGGGTCTGATCCCTGGATCGGGAAGATCCTTTGAAGAAGGGAATGGCTAGCCTCTTCAATGTTCTTTACTGGAGAATTCCATGGACAAATGAGTCTGGTTGGCTACAGTCCACGGGGTCACAATGAGTTGGACATAACAAAGTGACAAAAACACTTTTATTACACACTTGTATTTGACAAGTTAACATTACATACATTTAAGGAGGTACAACAAGATGGTCTGATATGTATTTAACCTTCTGTAGGGGGAACACAGGTGAGTTTATGAAAAATGAAAGCATGATATTTATTCATAACAGAAACATTATACTATGACTTTGTATCTAAACCCAAAAGTGTATATCCCAAAACTGGTTCTTTGGGGCTCTTTTTATTAAAGACTTTCAGTATGATCTTTCAGCAATTTTCAACTTTCATTCTTCCTTTTTGAGACCAAATCACTAGCCCATGTCCACCCTCCCTGCTGCCCACTGGTTTCACAGGTTCTCATACTCCTCATTACAGCGTCCAGTTGGCAGTAGTGTTTAAGAAAAATGTTGTCTAGGGACTTTTCTGGTGGTCAACGGTTTGGACTCCGCACTCTCACTGCTGAGGGCCTGGGTTCAATGCCTAGTCAGGGAACTAGATCCCATATGCCACAACTAAAAACAAGATCCTGAGTGCCACAACTAGAGATTTTGCATGCTGCCTGCATGCTGCAACTAAGACCAGTCACAGCCAAATAAATATGTTCGTTCATTCGTTTGTTTAAAAAAAATAAAGATGTAGTCCACACTAATTATTAAATGTTGTTAACAATCTGCCCGACTTTCCTTGTGAGGCTGGGTCCAGACACCCTTAGGACTGCTTCTCTTTCTTGGCAGTGGGAAGAAAAGGGGTCTTGCAGTAAGGCAGATGGCAGAATTCTGAAATTAGTTGTTTCCCCATTTTGCAAGATTTTTACAACGATTAAGTGAGGAAGTACATGGACCATTTAGTCTAGTTTTCCATCCAGAGGTATGCAATGATCCCATCTTTCCCTTCACCCTCCAGATTCAACACATTGATACCTTGGGACCTGCTACTTGCAATCATTTGTGCAGTCTCATTTCATTCCATTGTGTTTCAGGAGAAGGTCCCACCAGCATTCTCAGTTTGAAAACCACTCCCTACCTCTGGGCACCAGGAAGAAACTGTCCAAGGGACTAAGTGTCCAAAGGACTAAGGCTGTGCAAATTCAGTGGCTTTCAGATTCATGCTTTTGGAACACTTTGTTCAAGTGAAATCGCTCTTGGAAACCTGGCATAAACAAAATAGGTAAAAAGGTCATTTTATTCACATTTGTTTATTTTATAAATTCACATCTATAGTTGAACTGAATTCAATCTATAATTAAATGCAACCTATTAATGTGACATTCACAACTAGATGCTTTGATGACGCACATGAGAAATCTGGGGTTAGAGATGACAGCTGCAAACTCACCAACCACAGCATTGAATTCTGCCTCTTGTTTTGATGGCACAGAATCAATAAATTCCTATTCACACAGAAAATAAAAACCACCGCTCATGATCTTCATGATTAATATAGGGCCAAACTTACCTAACTGGACATCCTTGGTGGCTCAGATGGTAAAGAATCTGCCTGCAGTGCTGGAAACCTGGGTTCGATCCCTAGATTGGGAAGATCCCTTGGAGAAGGGAATGGCAACCCACTCCAGTGTTCTTGCCTGGAGAATTCCATGGACAGAGGAGCCTGGTGGGCTACAGTCCGTGGGGTTGCAGAGTTGGACATGACTGAGTGACTAACACACACATACACACCTGAAAACTACCTATGATGCATCATCACATCGGACAGCTATACTGGCCCCCTACTATCACACAAGCCGACATCTGAACAAGATCTGATCAGCACGTGCACCTGAGCGACGCCTGGACGTCCTCTCAGAATATCACATGTGTGTAGTGATGACACTTTCTGTACAACTGTCAGTGACTAAAAAACAAATTCATGGGCTACACCCTTCTAGGCAACAACTAGAGAGACATTTAGGAGACACTACACAGGCACGGAAATGACAAAGGATTATACTAAGAACTGCACAAACATGAGCTACTTGGCAGCACAAGATAGGTTAATGTCTATCACTGAGCATACAGGCTCTTCTGCCTCTATGCTCTGCTTGCTGAAGATGGCCCTTCCTGATTTCCCAAGATTCAGGTGAAATGTCCCTCAAGTCCTGCCTGGAGGAGGGCATCCTCCTCTTCAGCTGCCTCTTCATCCTTTATTAGTGTCAGTAACTCGAAGAAGACTGCCTGCGCGGTGTTCCGTGGACTGCTCCAGCAAGGACCTGCTCCACGCTCACTCAAAGGCTCCTCTCTCTACCAGTTTCTGTAGTCAAGTCTCCAGCCTTAGTACCTAAGCAGACAATTTTCTCCCTCCTTCTGGTAAGTGATCAGGTATTTGACCTGCAACTCCCAGAGCCTGCAGGCATTCAGGAGTTGTGATTAAAGGATTGTTTATCTGGAGGACACAAATGATACTGGATGCTGGGTCTCTAAAGCTCTCTAGCAATCGCCTTCTTCTTTCAGCATCTTACGTCTTTCATATCCTCATAATTTGGGTAGTATGCAACAGCCAGGATTCAAACTCTTCTTCTGGCTCTGGAGGATCACTGCCTGAGAAAACTTCCAGTTTTTTGTATTTCAGGTGTTGCAGGGCAGGCTGAAGAGCCTCAAGAACTGTCAGCCAACAAAGGGGCCCGCATTCCTAGGATCACATCCTAGTCTAGATCAAAGGGTCGTTTCCATACGCAAGAGCTCTGGTAAACTCACCCTCACCCTAACCTAACAAAGTCACGCCTTCCCCCTCTAAGAGTTCATTTAATCTGCTTAAAAATTCACTATCTGGATTTAGGGGGCTTAATGATCCCTCTTCAGGCGCCCCCGCCTCCGGATATCTCCTTAGGGACCAGAGCAAGACTTGTTTCCTCAGTAAGTCCTATTAAGGCTACATTCCTGATCTCGTCCCCGGGACGATGTCCCGAGGAGTCGGTACTCCCCCAAAGGGGCTACACCAGTTCGCAGATTTCTGCCACATCACAGGTCTGGGCGATGCCGGCAACCAAAGGCGCTTTCCGTGAGTTCACATCCATCTCTCTACACCAGTCTCCTAAGAGCCTCAGCGTCATGGTGCCCCAAACAACAGATTTAAATTCCAATTTTTCCCACACCACTGACACCACCGCAATTCACAGTATTTCTTCGCGGTACTAGAGTTAAGTCTGGTCAACGTTCGGAGTTTCGACGGGCTGCGAGGACGAGGCAGTCAGGTCAGTGTGAAGGTGTCAATGAATGACCCGAGACTCGAGCCCGGAGAAGGCCCACGCACCCGCGCCTGCGACCAGTCCCACTGCGGCAAGGAGTCACCGGAACCTCTCGGAGTCTCGGGTCTAGCTGTCGGTGTCTGAGTCCATCGCCTGCAGTCGAGGCACCAGGGCCGGCTCGCGACGCTTCCCGGACCGCTAGGCCCGAGGAACGCTAGGGCCGGCCTCTTCTCCACTCGACGCACACCCGAGGGGGATAGCAGAGGCGCGCCGCGGGACAGCTGACCGCCCGACGCTGCGGAGTTTTCCGCGGGGCGAAAAAGCTGGGGAACCAGACCTGCGAGAGAAGCACTAGGGCGAAGCTTTGAGGAGGGCTGAAGCGGCCAGGCCCGGACGGCCGCCCACCAGAAGGGGGTCTTGGCCACCACCCGCGCCTCCGCAACTTTTGCCAACTAGACAGCAGGAGCGATTGGAGCTCGCTGGAGGAGGCGTTGCCGCGGCCTGACGTCACGGGGAGGGGGCGGGGCAGCGCGCTTCCGGCCTGAGCCGGAAGCCCCGAGTGTGGCAGCATCCGGGACGGCGAGCAGGCGGGCCAACCCGGACAGGAGGTGAGACCCGGGACCTGCCCAGCTCTGCAACCTCGGCCGGTGGCCGCTGCCCGGCACTGGGCTCTCGGCGCTGCAAGGCGGAGAGGCCCGGGTCTGGCGCCGCCTGCGCAGCCCTGGTCGCGGCCAGCGGTCCCTGCTGCGCGACAGGGGGCGGGGCCGGCTGCAGGGAAGGCCCAGGTGTCGGGGGAAGCCTCCCGGCTGGGCCGAGCAACACAGGCTGGTGCTCGGGCAGCAGCGACAGGGGCCAGCCCGCCGCGTGACCGGCTGCAGTCACGCTGTGCTTAATCACACTTAGTCTTTGCTCCAGGCTGGCCGTGCTCACCATTCTCCCAGCCGGTGACCCCGGGGGATTTATTTTATGGTGGCTTTTTCTCTGAAATGCCAAAGCAACCCGATTATTCAGAACTGAGTGACTCTTTAACGCTTGCCGTGGGAACAGGAAGATTTTCGGGACCACTGTAAGTGTTTAAGAGTTACTGTCTTAACTTGGGGGCTCCGACATAGGTTTGACTTGAAGAACCAAGCGTTCATATCTGCAGCTATACTGTTAAATCAGAAAATATCTTAACTGTTAACAGTGAAATGTTCCGTAGGAAATTAATTTAATTACAGTTTAAGGGGCGGTGTGCTGGACCTGTTTAAAAGTCAGATATAGTGATTTATCTGTGGGCTTCAATAAAAAGCATGCTCAATGTATAATGAAACTTTATCATATCTATTACATAAAACAACCTGTAAGTTGTTTACATTTCTTAATAGATGTAAATTTAGTTATTTAAAACCTCAAAAGTGCGTAATGGGGTAGAGCTCACTGGGGAAAAAAAGTTAAGTATATTTGGAATAGTTGCCATGACAGCATTACTAGACCCTAACTGAGTTGTTGTTTTTAATTGGAAGGCACAGAGCATGGAGAATGATGAATTTCCGTCAGCGGATGGGTTGGATCGGAGTGGGACTGTATCTGTTAGCAAGTGCAGCAGCATTTTACTACGTTTTTGAAATCAATGAGACTTACAACAGGCTGGCCTTGGAACACATTCAACAGCACCCAGAGGAGCCCCTTGAAGGAACCACGTGGACACACTCCTTGAAAACTCGGTTACTCTCCCTGCCTTTTTGGTTCTGGACAATTGTTTTTCTGATACCTTACTTACAGATGTTTTTATTCCTTTACTCTTGTACAAGAGCTGACCCCAAAACGGTGGGCTACTGTATCATTCCCATATGCTTGGCAGTTATATGCAATCGCCACCAAGCATTTGTCAAGGCTTCTAATCAGATCAGCAGACTACAACTGATTGACACATAAAATCTGTCATCATTTTTTCCTTACAAGTACAAAACTGCCAGTACGATATGGAGCCTGATCACAAGACTGCAGTTTCTTCACAGATCTCAGGAAGTTGTGGTGGGGCAGAAGCTTTTTAAAGAATGTGGCTAGGGGGCTAACTTTATCTGAATAATGAATTTTTAGGTAAAGACTGAGAATCAGTACTACAAAATCATGTGGATGACTTCAGATTTTGGAAGTAAAATTTTATCTGTTATTTGCATTCCTTAGAAACTTGAATAAGTACCTGGACTCATATTTTTATTTTACTGTGCAACATAGTGATAATTCAGAAAATTTTCCTTTGGGGAAAAATGAATATGAACATTTCCATTGTGCTTAATGTAAAAAGGTCCAAACATGGTCATAAAATTTAAATTTTATACAATTACTTGGCTTGCTTTAAAATTCTTCAAACTAAAACACCAGTTCATCCCATTGTAGCTAAGGCACTGTGCTCGTTTGCTATTAGCTTGTGAGAAATTGGTATGAAATTATTGAGGTGATGGGTGTCTTGAGAAGCAAAATGTGATCTTCCTTTTGGTAATGCTATGGGCTCTATCCATTAGCTAGAATTATTAATGCAACTTAAAAAAAAACTACTTGGGGAAAGACAATGTTTGAAAGCTGAGCAATCTAACATATAGAAGATGGAAACAAGGTGTTCAATGAAAATAGTCCAGTCCCTGTCAGATGTGTGCTATCTGAACGATGCTCTCAAGTCACCGTCCCTCTGCTTTTCTTTTCTGCCTAAGGTCGAGTCTTCAGGCGACAGGTTAACTGCGTGAAGATGTGATCCCTGCACTGCCTCTTTTGCATTTGTATTCACTACCTCATGTCTGGTAACAATACAAATAACTGAAAAATGGAAAACTAGATTTTAGGATTTTTTTTCTTTTTTTCTGGGTGAGATCAAGATATATTTTTATAGTTATGTCGTCAATACCAGAGAAATGTTTAGAATCATAACATTTTTTGGTGCTTCTTCTCTTGGGCTCTAAGAGCTTTAACATGAATCAACTCATGTAGTCCTCCAACAGCCCTATAAGTTATTATTATCCAGATTTTACAGATAAGGACAGTGAGCTGCAGTTCTGTAATTTGCCGAAGGTCACACAACCAAGAAGCAAAGCCAGAGTCTAACCCGGCATCTGATGCCTTTACTCCTAATCCCTGAGCTGCAGGGCTTCTCAGAGATGACAGATGTTTCAGCACTGGGTACTGTCTGCCTAACCATGCTAATAAATGGAAAAGAACTGAGAAAGGTTTTTCTCAATTTGTAAGAACCACTGAAAATCAAGAAGTTTCCAAGCAACTTCAGCTCAGGTTTGACCAGAATGGAAGGCTGAGCATTCCATCGGAAGCTTTTACTTGAGAGATAAAGCAGGTGCCCTTGTAACTCAGGAGAGGCACAGTCAGATTCTTCTCCAGTAGTCTCATTTCTCTCCTTTACTACTTCCAAAGGTCTAGTTACTGAAATGTTTTTTTGCTACAAGATGCTGATACAGAGTCTTCAAATTAAGCAACAGTTTGAAATATGTGTTTTTCCAAGGGTCCAGTAACCAAATCTCTTGCATCTTTTGAGTACTTACTAAAAGTATGCATGGCTGCAGGCAGATTCCTGAGATGTACACATTCATGCTGCATTAGAGTTCTATGATGCAAGCATGTGTTGGTACTAGTACCACTTTACAGAAGAGGAAACGAGGAAGCCTGAGGCACACAGAATTAATAACTTGCTGTTGGTCACACTACTAGTGGAAGAGCCAGGATTTGAACCCAGGCTAATCTGGCTTCAGATCTCCAGCTACATCATTCTACTATACTGCTTATCAAAAAAAAGACATAATTTAAGAAGTCATTGCACAGTTTCTTGTTTTGTTTGATTTGTCCTAAGGCAGCGCTAGTTTGGAAATCATTTAAGAACATTATTTCCATCACTTTTTGTTTTACAAATGATGTAATGAAAGGTTTGTGAGTTTGCTATTTGTCTTGTAGTAATTCCTTATTTTATTGAGGTAGACTTTTTTAGACTTAAAATTCTAGTATTTTGGAATTTGCTAAGTAAACACTCAGTCCATCAATTTTTCTTTTTTCTTTTTTTTGCCATGCAGAGCACCATGCAGGATTTTCATTCCTCAAGCAGGGATTGAACCTGTGCTCCCTACAGTGGGGGCATGGAGTCCTAACCACTGGACTGCCAGGGAATTTGGGGACATTTTCTGGTTTTAAAAACGCTACATGGAGAAGGAAATGGCAACCCACTCCAGTGTTCTTGACTGGGAAATCCCATGGACAGAGGAACCTGGCCTCCATGTCTGAAGAGTCAGACATGACTGAGGGGAGGAAACGGTCTCACAAAAGTTGAGGCACTTGGCAAAGGCCCCTCTAGAGCCCATAACCACAACTACTGAGCCCAAGTGTACAACTACTGAAGCCCACGCACCCCAGAGGCTGTGCTCTGAAACAAGAGAAGCCACCACGATGAGAAGCCCACACACCGCAACTCTCCCACATACTGCAACCAGAGAGTAGCCCTGTTTGCCGCCAACTAGAGAAAAGCCCATGCAGCAACTGAAGACCCTGCACGGCCAAAAAGAGTCATTAAAAAAAAAAAAGTTTTAAAGGGAAAAATGTGATTCCCTTAGAATTTGATTCTACTTCAAACAAAGCTTTCATAATTAATAAGCTTTTCTTTGGGAAAGTGGAATCATCAGATAAAGTGCTCTGAAGTGACAGCACCCACAGAATAATCAAACCTGTATGTTTGTTCACCATGAGTTGTGTTAAAGTCTTTGTTAGAATTATCTACTGCTGATTTTCTTCTTGATGGATTTAACGTTCTCAATCTAACACTGGCAGAAAAGATTACCACAATACCACATGACTCATTTTTGCATCACATAAGTGCCATACTTTATAAGTTCTCCAATATGCTTATAATGTTCTACATAATTCTAGACCATGGTTGGGAATCATCATGCATTGATATTGTTGTTTTGGTCTAAGGCAGTGAGTAGGTCTTGAACTGTGTCTGAATGTTAGAATCACTCAAGGAGATAAACAAAAAAACTGCAAAACTCCTCATATAAACAATGCTAGGGTCCCTTCCCAGCTATCAATCCCTGGGAGAGGGGCCAAGGCAATCATGTTCTGAGAGCTCTTCAAGCAAGTCTGTTAGGGTTGAGAGTCACTGCGCTGGAGTGTTATTTTTTTCTTTCTTTTGGGCCAGGGGTTTTTATGCACCATAAAGCCTCAACTGTTAGTCATTGAGAGCTCTCTTTAGAACAGTGTTAACAAACATTTCATGGTAGGCTCACGCCAGCTGTTTGAATTCTGCAAATCTTTAAAAAGGTACCTATATATTCTTTTTCAAAATATTTTTCCCCAAGGTTTAAATACACTTGTTACAAGAAGCCCTACTGAGCAGAGCCTTATAAACTAATGTGTGTGGTCCCGGGATGTCAGCCATGGAGAGAGGTCATGAAGGTCAGATGCAGAAGGTCACTGTAACTGAAGGCCAAGTTCTAGGGGAGGCCAGCCAGGAATGCAGTAGACATGATCAGTTCAGGCTGGGGGTGGTCAGGTCACATAAAGGAGAGGACTCCTGCTTCTTGTAGTTCTCCAGGTGTGGCAAGGCCCAGCCCCAGGCAGGAGGAAACAGGAAGCACGAGCTGAGCCCAGTGGCAACATCCATGGTCCTGACTGCTCCTGTAGTGGCTCGGAATGGATCTGGGCACGGGGCACTGGGAGCTGCAGGCCGGGCATGTCAGGACCCTCAGTGGCAGGGATGTCAGTGTAGACAGGACCACACCAGGCAGACTGCAGACAGCTGCCAGCCCAAGCTCACGGTGGGGAACGAGATGTCTATTTTCTGACTCTAATTCCTATTGTCCAATTTATCCTGAACACACTTCTGTCAGGTTTTTGTCTCTGACTCTATCAAAGTCGCTCTCTTGTCAGCAGGTTGCCAGTCATTTACATATAACTAAACCCAGTGTCAAGTCTCAGTCTTCAAATTACTTTTTTTGGCCATGCCATTCCTTGGGGGATATTGGTTCCCTGACCAGAAACTGAACCCACATCCTTGGCACTGAAAGCATGGAATCCTAACCACTGGACCACCAGGGAACTCCCCCTCAAATTACTTTCGGACACACTCCCTTGTCCTTGAAGTATTTTCTTCTGTTGGCTTCTGGAACAGTACTGCTCAATAGAATTTTAGTGATGATGTAAATGTCCTCTATCTGTCCTGTCCCTGTCAACAGCCCAAAGCCACATGAAATGAGCCCTTGAGGTGCGGCTAGTGTGACTGAGGAACTGAATTTTTTACATTTTAATTCAACAGCCACAAGTGGCTAAACAGCCCAATTCTAGATACGTTTCTATTAGTCTTCTTCCTCACCAGCTTTTCATATGCCTTTTGCTGGTTCCTCTTTGGGGCATCTACTCAATTTCTAAGAGGTGGCATGCCCACGTTTTCTTTTCTACTCCCTTGTCATCTTATCCAGGCTCATGGCTTTAAAACCCAAATTTCTATCCTGAGTTCCAGTCTTGAATAGCTAACCACCTACCTGATATTTACAAAGGTATCTTACCAGGCACCTGCAATTTAACCTACTTAAAGATAAGCTGCTGATCTCTCCAGCCACCAAAATCTGCTCAAGTCCCCTACAAGTCTACTATTACACAAGTGGTGAGGGATCATTAAAAATGTTACTCTTCTCAAAAATCCTTCTATAGCCTCCCTTCTCAGAATAAAAGTCCAAGTCCTTGGCGTGGCATGCAAAGCTCTGCGTGGCCCCGACTCCATTCTCTGCTGCCCCCCACCCCTGCTCCACGCCACCCATACTGGCCTTCCTGCTGATGCCAGAGCAAGCCAGAAAAACATGTTTCAGGGCCTCTGGGCTCAGTGCGCCTCCTGCTTGGATGCTCAGCTCTGACCAGCTCCATCATGTTCTTTAGACCTCTGTTCAGCT